ATAATGATGAGGATAAGAATGATAATAATAAGTATAACGATGATGATAATGATAACGATAATAATGAGGATTACAATAATGATCATGAGGATAACAACAATAACAATGTGGATAACGATAACAATAATGAGATAACAATTATAACAATGAGGATAATGACAATAATAATGAAGCAGGCTCTTTTATATTAAGTGATACATTTTAGGTACCCATAGGCAGTTCAGATAAGCTAGTTAGCCTAACCCCGTGTCTTTAGTCTGCAAGAGAAAACCCATGAATCACGGGGAGAATGTGCTGGATTGGAATCCTCAAGAAGCGAGGCCAGAGTGCCGACCACTGGGCCGCCGTATTTTACGATAATTAGCATGTTTGAGAGCTCATGTGAAACAGGGTGCCTTAATCAGAGGACGGGAACTTCACACCGACCCTTAAGTCTGGTTTCTTAGCATCAGTCGGCCGGCACCAGTCCAGGGGAGCTCAACCGCGGGTTGGGGTCGGAGCGGACCCTGGCGTGAGCGGTGAGGTAGGGATTCCGATTCCTGCCGGATGGCCTCCCGCGTTTCCCAGAAGGCGAGCTTTGTCTCTGCATGGCCGCCTCGCGGGCCTGTGATTTACGGAGCTCTCCTCCGCCGTGACGCCCCACATCCATTCTACGTCTGTCACAATAAGAGTCCCCTGACGTTTACCTCCGGGGATCCATTTTTATATCGGCTCATCTCCGATAAAAGTGAAATTCTCATGCGGCGTTTATCCACTTTCCCGATCATGCTGAGATGTGTGTGACTCCTCTTTCCATTTCCGTATTTCTGCATGTGTTTGTGACCTTGGGCATTTATTTATATGTGCATTTTTGTAGTACTCTTTGTATTTTATGCAGATGTTCTGCAGCTGTAAGAGTAATGAATGATCTGCAATGCATTATAATTCCCAGATACATTGACAGTATTTGAAATGCAGATTCTGGGAGCACAAACGCGGACTGTCTGCGTGTCCCCAAGGGCCGGATTGGGTAAACACTGCTCTAAATTATGTTGTGCTTATGTTAGGGTCTGACATCCCATACAGGATGTCCTCTGCCTGGAATGGGCTCCTGGGAGAGGCTCCAGGCCCATTGTGGCCCTTCAATAGATAAGTGGTTATGAAAGATGGCCAAAGACCTGCCAATGTTTCCTACATTTCAGTGTCCCTCCAGCATCCACCTTGTAGTTAATGGAGCACTATTGTGCCAATACTCATGACATTCAGGTAGATCAGAAAACGCAACTGCAAACCTCAGAACACACTGATGTAATAGAAGTAAATGAATTAAATAGAATGTTAAAAAGAGTCCCAACATCTTAAAGTTACCTGTTCGCTTTCCAATCTTTTTAATGGAAAAATTAAGTAAATAGACTTTCTACAAATCATTTCACTTCTCTGTTGCTCAAAATAGCAATGTTGTCATTATTCTGCAGTGATTTATGTTTACAAGCTGAGCAGCAGCTAATTAAACACGCCGGCGTTCGGCTCTGAACGTTGTGGCTGGGTTCCTTGCTGCAAATACGCAGAAACGGGCTTTGCTCTGTTTTTCTGCGCACCTGCTTGCAAATCTCTTCCCCTCATACTGCTGCCTTTTTTTTTTTCTTACGAAAATAAGAAATTGATGTATGTTGTCGGTTTGTTCGAAGAGTCCATCCCTTTCGTCTCTCCCCAGCTTTGGGGTAAACATGGCCGACACGCTACAATAACCGGATGCTGTTCTTTTTTTCTTGTTACCTGGATCGCCGGTTTAAGGGGCTGAAATCCGGGGCGATTTCAGAAGCACTCAGCGGTGCGTGCGCATCGTCTAGACCGGGGGGTGGACAATTTTATCTGCAAAAGGTTAGTGTGTATGCAGGTTTTTGGGATAACCTTTAGCTCAGCTGTTCAAGCCAGGTGTGAGGACTCTTCAGTCAATCAGTCCTCTAATTAGTAATCTAATTAGGGAGTTTCAGTGAAAACCTGCATAAGTAGCAGCCCTTTGCGGATAACAATGGCCACCCCTGGTCTAGACGAATGATTAGATGTAAATGCAGCAGAGGGTCCCTTACAATAAGAGGCGAGGGCTTATGCTGTGGCTCCCAGGTGGTGCTGTTGGAGGTGAACCTGGGATATAGAGGATCGTCCCGTTTGAGCCAAAGGCCAGCTCTGTGCCTCTCCAGCTGTCAGTTTGACAGGGTGTCCACTCACTTTTCCATCGCTGTCCCCACCAACACAAGAGGTTTGGCCGAAACAATGGCGGCAAGTCCATCCGTGGAGGCGCGCAAACAGAGAGGGGCTTTTACTTTAAGCGCGGTGCAGATTATAACTCAACTGGCCTTGAGGAATAATGAGCCGGGCGCCTAACAATCCTTCCTGTCCAAGTCAGTCATCCGGCGAGAAGATCTGGGCGTCGCCCAACACCGTCTATTATCTCCCTCATTCTTCTTTGTTTCCATTTACTTCCGGGGTGTACGTCTCATACGCTTCTAAGTAAAGCGCTTGGATAATTTTAACTTTCCATTAAATTATTCCGTTTGAGTGATTCTTAGATAATGAGCGAAACGAACGCAGGGAGTGGCCTCCACTCCTCAGAATGGGGATGCGAGCAGGGCCGTTGTTATTGCCTTAATGTGACTTACGTGGCAAGTGCAAAGTTCCTTCTAAGCGGGGTTTATGAGGTGAGGCTGGCAATCAGTGTACTGCAATTACAGCCCAATTATCT